AGATGAAAAAGTATGTTATAAACCAAATTTTCTTCATTTTTAGCAATATAGCATTAGAACATATTTGTTTGAGAAAAAAAAAACCATTTTTCCTAACGTATATTTTTTAATGTGCGATATCATTTACTTTTTTTGAAAATCTTTATCTGAACATTCGAATGTTTTCTTATTATGTTTATAAGAACATTCGAATCTTTATCAAAAACAAAAATACTTATTATGTTTTCTTTTTCATTTAAATGTTTTAGGTATGTCTTTGGTTTTAAACTTTAGTCCAAATTATTATTCAAACCCCAAAAACAAATAATTGTTGTAGATTCTTGGGAAAAAAACAAGTTAGAACTGTTGAAAACAAAAATTGTTAATTGTTTAGGATAACGTCAACTAAAAAAAAAAAAAAAAAAAAAAAAAAAAAAAAAAAAAAAAACTCAGCCATTTGAAATTCCTTAACTGACGTGGATAATTTCTAAGGATAAATATGAATTAATTAGTAAATATAATATTATCCATACATAGATGATTTTAATCCGAATTTTACTCCGAAGTCAAATGTTTTTTATTACATTCCAAATTTATTTATTTTCTCTTAAACTTTCCTCCATTATCCATTTATAACAGAATATAAACAGATATTTAATAGTAAAACATACTTGTCGATAAAGTTAATAAAATAAATAACCCTCATACCTTAAAGGCTTATACCACCTCTGCCTCGTTTAGTTTAGGGGGCTTATTGGGGTGTTGATTTCTGAAAAAATTTTAAAATTTTAAGATTCTATTGTTATTGGTTTGTAGATTCTTATATTCTTAGTAAACGCTCATGTTATTGGTGTTGTGATTTTGCAATTCAATTAAAATATGGTGTTATTGGTGTATGGATTTTGTAATTCTACTAGGATCGGACCTGCGGTCCACCACAGGAGAATATTGATTTACATACGTTGATTTTAATATTGTGCATGTTTTTAATAGAACGAATCGTGTAGTGTACTTATAAATATTCCTAATAACAAATTGTAAAGAAAATATTAAATTGTTTATAATTAAACCAATCATATTAATTATGATTTATAAAATGGAATTTTGTGTTTTAGAATTCAAAAATTAGACGAATCATGGGAATTAAAGCAGTCAAAATAGGTCCAAAACCGCGGGTCGAGCCCAAATCATCTCACTATTGAGCAGATTTGGGAAAATATATTAAACCCGCAAAAAAACGGGCCACATGGATTGATTCGCAGTGGGTCATCGGTTTTCATCCGCCGGTTGGCGGATCAACCCGCATGATAGTATTTATTGATAAAAATATAATTTATTCAACATGTGGTAGTTTAAAAAACTTTTAATAAACAAAATTATAATATTTATAAATATAATGATATATAAGATTATAATCTCTAAATTTTTTCTAATTTATTTATTTCTTTAAATTTTGGTTACTCTAAAATTATTTAAACAAAATCCACGGATAACCCCGCAAATCAGCATACATTCGCGCGACGGGTTTGTGTTTCATATATGCTACCCGCGGGTCGTGCGGACAGACTAACTACATGCCAAAATATATTTTGCCTATTGCAAAACAGGCTTAACGGGATGAATCAACTCGTTTTGACAGCTCTAATGGAAATATTATTTAGTCATACAACACAATGGAGTTTGGACATAGGAATAATCGAATATGTATCTTATTTGTTAGATGAGAGATTGAAAGGTGAAATATAATGATTAAAAAATAATTAATATTTTTCATGATTCACAAAATTTAATAAATATTTATCATCTTGTTGAATAATTCTAAAAATCATATTCAAGAAATCTTTATAATTTGAAAATTAAACTTCTTTGGTAAGATATAAGTATGAAAATACCATAATTTCGATTTAATCTAATTAAATTAAAATTAGTTACATATATTTCATATCTATTTAATTTACATGACCAAAATAAAAAAAAATCTATTTAATTTATAAAATAGATGGATTAGTTGTGATAAATTTTCTAGAAATCTCTAGAAGCAAGTAAGATATCTTTTAATTAATGATAACTGACTAAAATAAGCAAAATTAATGTGAAAAACGTTGATTATTATGGAATTAGTTCCAAAAGTATATGAACAAATATATTATACGTAATTAATGTGTAACATTGTTTGGAATATGATTTTATAATTAGTTACCATAAGTACAATCAAATTTTATTTGATTTCCATAAACATTTGATTTTAGTTTGATTTTTCATTATTAATTCGAACTTATATTCCAAAAAATTTTCAAAGATCCGATTTCAGAATTTCGGGTCAATTTTCTGATTTTGACCCGACCCATTTACATTTGTACTTCTCTTTTAATAGTATAGAGATTTAAAATCTTTTGTTATTCAAAAAGTTGTGTATTTATTGATTTTGCAGTTATGTCAAACTCTAATGTTATTGGAACAATGATTCTTTACATGTTTACTCATTAATTAACAAAAACTTCCAAAATACTCTAGTTATCTTATGTATTTTAAAAAACCCCTCTCGTTTCCACTATCTAATCATCGGCTCCAAAATAGAAAACAAACACAAAAAATCCAGACATTCCATCCATAGTATATAGCAAACAAAAACCGTATAAAAACAAAAAGCCATGTTCGTTAAAAGAACAAAAATCAAAAACGATGTAACCAAATTCTCAGCTATTTCATTAACAGTTCTTTGAATTAACTTCTCAGCAGTCTTTTGTCAACTCAATCTTTTCCATGAGATGATCTGCAACTCTCTTTTCCATGAGATGATCTGCAACTCAATTTTTTTCCATGAACAAGTCACGAGCAAAGAACTGGTAATGGCTATAAATATTATTCATTAAACGAACCGAAAACAATTAATCCAATTTGATATCGTAAAGCAATTTAAAACTGTCTCAAAATAATAATTAAAAAAAAATCTAGAAAAAGCAATACGAGAAAAGAAAAAAAACAGATCATTCAGAACTAATGTTGCTTTGGATCCAACCGTAGCGCTCTTCAACCGACATATCCGCAAATACATCTGTCATTCCCAATGAGTATATAAGGATAACCGCTTTAAATTTGATACGCTAATCCAAATTAGGAACCTCTTTCATAGCATCCCAAATTAGGTACTTCATTTTGCTGTGATAATGCTTGTGGGTTTTTTGGCATCCACATCTCTCAATAAGAATTGGTAGTATTCTATGTTCAACCGTTGCCTTATTTACTATACCAGAAGAGTCACGCCATTCACGTTGAATACCCTCGACAAGCAGCTCTATCAATACTTTGGTTTCTTCTGGACTCCACTGATTATATAGCTTTTCTTTGTCACCCATGATAATCTTATTCGAAAACTATGATAGTTAGTAACTTAGTATAACTAAGGGCATGCTAAACAATCAATTATATAACAAACGTAACTTGCAAAAGGAGACAAAATAACAACTTTTCCATAATATAATGTAAATAAAATGTATCAAAACTATGATGAAGGAACAAAAAAAGATAGTTTTTGTCAGTGGCGGATCTAAAGAGGAGAGGGGTAGGGCACGTGCCCCATACTGATTTTTATAAAAAAAGTTTTGAATATTACTAGTAATTATTACTTAGAGCAATCGGTGTTTGGTGCCCCATTAGAAAATAAAGTTCCGGACTTCGATCTTTGTAGTCTTACTTTGTTTTCTCATTTTTTTTTCCCACAATTCCAATTTTCTTTTTGTTTGTTGTACACATACTTCCTTTTCTTTTTATTCTGGACTTCTTTCATGTTTTTCTATTTTCCTATTGATTCTATTCTACATTTTTTTCCTTTTTATTTTATTTTATATACCAAAACACATTGATTCTTTAGTAATTTTTATAACATATCACTATATCAGTTTCAAGTCACACTATTGTAAACCAATATAATCTAAATTCTGAAGAAAAATATAAATATATGTAGTGAATTTAATAAATTTTTGTTTCAATATTTAGTTTAAAAATAGAAAAATCAAGTAAAATGGTATTCTTCTTATTTTTTTGCAGTTTTTATATATATATATATATATATATATATATATATTTTTTTTTTTTTTTGACATCTTTGAATCGACAAGGTCCGATCCATAGCCAATCCCTACTACGCGGAGTAACGCGATTTACTGGAGTCGAACTCCGGTGGAGAAGGCGGAATCAAGTGAAAGGCACATCCCCCGCAGTTTTTATATTTTTTAAAACTCATATTATAGTATGTGCCCCACATTAATATTTGTTCTGGATCCGCCCCTGGTTTTTGTACCTTTGCTCGCCACAGATGATGATTGGAGAATATGAGTTTTACTCTACGTCAAACCACCATTATAAACAAATAAACATTCCTTATTAAAAGATAGAATATTTGGAAAGCAAGCATATCAGATATTATTTTAATAAATTTTTGAAGAAAAAAGTCATCAAGAATCTACGACAACCCATAAAATTATTGTAATGATTTCACAAATTTGTGTAAACAGATTTATTAGAATCCACAAAAATCTTTAAAGATTTAAAAAATCTCTCAACTTTTGAAATCCACAAACTTTACACAAATCAACATCCCAATAAGCCCCCTTTAGTTTTCTCCTCAACAGACAAAATAAAAAATAATATATCTATATTAGTAAGTAAAGAATATAGCTTAATAATGTATATTATAATAGCAATTTTATTAACTTTAACTCGTATATATGATGTTATATCTTAATATGTAAGTTGTATATATGATTATTGTTTTGTATTATGAAATTGTAAAATGAATTAAAAGTGTCTTAAGAAATATTAATTGAAATACATAACTCTAGAAGAAATATGAATTAATCAATTAAGGTATTATCCATAATTTATCCATATGTTGGTCATCGTAATTATCCATAAATTGGTCCAAGTAATTATCCAGGTCAAAGATACGTTTCCAAAAATCTCTCATTTAATAACCAGATACAAATTCTCGACCACTATAAATACGTGCTCTCTCTTCCTTATCAATATCATATCAAAGTTTCTCAAATCTTTTTTTCACTTTTGATATTCTTTTAACCGTTTAAAACTTAGTCTTTAACAATGGAGTTGGATCTTTCACCGAGGTTGCCAAAGAAGGTGTACGGAGGAGACGGTGGTTCGTACTTTGCATGGTGCCCTGAAGAGTTGTCAATGCTCCGAGATGGTAACATTGGAGCCGCTAAGCTCGCTCTTGAGAAGTATGGCTTGGCTCTTCCTCGCTACTCTGATTCTCCTAAGGTCGCTTATGTTCTTCAAGGTTCGTGTTTTACGATCTTCCTTTTGATCACTTCACTCTCTTTTTAATGTTTTAACCAAAGTTTGTCTTGATCATATGTCTTTTGTTTGTTCTATATATGTACATAAAGTTATTTGTTCAGATCTGATAAATCATAAATCACTTTCTTAAAAGGGTTCTTAAGTAGTATGATTTTTTTTGTATCTACGAATGTGCTAATTTTTTTTCTTTCATTAAGCCGTGATTTGGAAAAATATGATATAATTTGGTGATTGTAGAATTGTGATGAACGTAAGATTAAACTATCTAGAAAAATGATCCAAAATAAAATTTTGACATGTAATTAGGGTTCATATTTCATATATTGATCATGGTCCTTTTTACTTATTGTGAAATATATGTTTTGGTGGTCATAATATTGTGATCTAGCCAATGAATATAGAGTTTAAGGATTAATATATATATTTTCTTGTTACCATTTTTAGGAGCTGGAACAGCTGGAATCGTGCTCCCTGAGAAAGAGGAGAAAGTGATAGCAATCAAAAAAGGAGACTCCATAGCTTTACCTTTTGGTGTAGTGACATGGTGGTTCAACAATGAGGACACTGAGCTAGTCGTTCTCTTCCTCGGTGAGACTCACAAGGGTCACAAAGCAGGACAGTTCACAGACTTTTACCTAACCGGATCCAATGGAATCTTCACTGGATTCTCAACTGAGTTTGTTGGCAGAGCTTGGGATCTTGATGAGTCCACCGTGAAGAAGCTTGTTGGTTCTCAGACCGGTAATGGAATCGTGAAGGTTGATGCGAGCTTGAAGATGCCTGCACCAAAGAAAGGTGATCGTGATGGGTTTGTGTTGAATTGTTTGGAGGCTCCTCTTGATGTTGACATTAAGGATGGAGGAAGAGTTGTTGTGTTGAACACAAAGAATCTTCCTTTGGTTGGTGAAGTTGGTTTTGGAGCTGATCTTGTGAGAATCGATGGACATTCTATGTGTTCTCCTGGATTCTCTTGTGACTCGGCTCTTCAAGTTACTTACATTGTTGGTGGAAGTGGTCGTGTTCAGATTGTTGGTGCTGATGGGAAGAGAGTTCTTGAGACTCATGTGAAAGCTGGTGCTTTGTTCATTGTTCCTAGGTTCTTTGTTGTCTCCAAGATTGCTGATTCTGATGGCTTGTCTTGGTTCTCCATTGTGACCACTCCTGAGTAAGATGTTATTTATGTTTTTTATCCTTTTTTTGATTGATTAATAATGTTTTACTTATATAGTTTTTGGTGCTTTTTGGCAGTCCCATTTTCACGCATTTGGCCGGTAGGACATCGGTGTGGAAGGCGTTGTCGCCGGAGGTTTTGCAGGCGGCGTTCAAGGTGGATCCGGAGGTGGAGAAGGCTTTCCGATCTAAGAGGACCTCTGATGCCATTTTCTTCCCTCCTTCCAAGTAGATAAATGAAAGAAAGGAGAAGTGTTACCGGTTTAGTTACTTTTATTGTTTAAGCAAGTGTTGTGGTTATTATTTTCTTTGGGTGTTTTTTTTGGTTTTTATGAACCGGTGCTTTCTTCCCTTGTTATGATTCAAAATATATAAGAAATGAAAAAAATATTTCTTCCAAAAAAATTATTTCTTTAACAGTTAAAAAATTGATAGATTACTTTTATGATGTGATGAAGTAAAAAACTCTAATTTATTTAATGGATACTTATATCAAATTGATAAATTTATTTAATCACCTATTATACTATAGCATTCTTGTTTCAAGTCTATAATATAAAATTTACTTGGACATATTTTATCACAGAAAAACACACAAACAGATTATCCTATATTTATTATTCAGGTAAAATAAAATTTAAATCTAAAACTGTTCAAACGTGAATATTATGATATTATCTAGTTGTTTGATATTAGCAAGTTTTGAATATCTTCACTAGATATTATAAAAAATCCACATAGAATTTGGTAAAATAATCAAACAAAGAAACGTAAAATTGCACTCCCCGTGAACCGGACTGACTGTTCCGGTTATGGTTTGGCTTATTGGGTTTCGGTTTTAGAAAATAGTGTAAACCGGGACTCGGTATCGTTGAAAATGTAAGAACCGGAGATCAATCACTTTACTCTTCTCTCTCAATCACAAAGCTTTTGCCAGATTCCACAATTCGATGCCGTCGACGAAGATCTTGGTCTTATCCAGAATTGAAGAATACCCTCTTCGTCGATTTTGTTCAGAGACTGATTCGTGACGAACATAATCAAACGATGAAACCATTTTAAGCTCATCGAGAGATTTCCTTAAAATTGTCTCGTTGTTTGAGTGTGTTTGTTATGAATAAGACTCTGAACCACTCTAATCACGAATTCGACGGATCAATGGAGATGGGATTGTGTAATTCAGTCTCAATTAAGTATTATAATCAAAGGATTTGGTTTGGTAATGGAGATTTGAGAAGATGTCTACAAGGTGTTCGATGAAATGCGTGACAGAGGAAAAATGCAACCAACGATCGTGATTTACAATTATCCTTATTGGGTTCTTATGCCTAGACGATAATCTCTGTCAAGCAGCGACCTTTTTCATGGTAAGATCTGATCTTTAGCCATTTTTCATTCTCGATAAGTTTATATATGCAGAATAATGGAAAAGCTTTAATCTTTGGGTTGTTTAACATTACAGATTAGCAATTTTGAGGAACTAATATTCAAATATTGTGGAGAAGTTATGATTTTTTTTCTCTTCTTTTATATGATTCTTCTCCAAAACCAAACCACTAGATAATGTGAAAAAGTTATCACCTGCTCCATTTCATCAACTCCATCTTCCTTGTATTAACAATCTCATTTCCTGTATGTATATATACTCTTTGAGAATCTGATTCTATCATCACAATCATTTACTTCAAACAACTATCTTTGCTTCTCTGAGTGATCTTCTTTCTTGTTCAATGGCAGGTCAAAAGATACTTTCTTTACTGGTTATAGCTCTTGTTGTTACTTTTGCAGCTGCGGCTCGGCTTCTTGATGAAGAAGATGCATTCTCAGCTACCACAACAACCTCTGGCTCTGGCTCAACTGCTGGGTCAGGTTCCACTGGAATTGGTTTTGGTGCAGGAACAGGGTCAAGTGGTTCAGGTTCCACGGGAATCGGTTTTGGTGCAGGATCAGGGTCATCTGGTTCAGGTTCTACTGGAACCGGTCTCGGTGCAGGTACAGGGTCGATACCATTAAGTGGTTCAAGTCCTTTGACTACAACTGGTTCTGGTCCTCTACCAACAGCCGGTTCTGTTCCTGGTTCTTTAGTGGGTGGTGGTTCTGGTTCTTTACCAGTCGGTGGTTCAGCAACTGGTCCAGGTGGTGCGGGTGCCGGTCCAGCTCTTGGTGGTGGTGCGGGTGCTGGTTCAGCTCTTGGTGGTGGTGCGGGTGCCGGTCTAGCTCTTGGTGGTGGTGCGGGTGCCGGTCCAGCTCTTGGTGGTGGGGCGGGTGCCGGTCCAGCTCTTGGTGGTGGTGCGGGTGCCGGTCCAGCTCTTGGTGGTGGGGCGGGTGCCGGTCCAGCTCTTGGTGGTGGTGCAGGTGCCGGTCCAGCTCTTGGTGGTGGTGGTGTAGGTCCTGATAACACATTGGTATTTTTTATGCACGATATACTCGGTGGTTCAAATCCCACTGCCAGAGCCGTAACTGGAGTCGTCGCGAACCCGGCTTTAAGCGGCCAACTCCCATTTGCTAAACCCAACGGCGCAAACCTTCCTGTAAGCAACGGAGTTCCATCGAACAACAACAACAACGGGATTGTCAACAACAACAACGTCCCTTTCCTGGTTGGACTCGGCGGAACCACGGCTAACATTCTCCAGAACAACAATAACGGAAACAACATTTTAAATGGTTTCCCTGTTGCTAGTGGCGGTCAGCTCCCAAGCGGTTCTGCTCTTCAGATGCTAATGTTCGGGACAATGACAGTAATCGATGATGAACTAACCGAAGGCCATGAGCTCGGATCTGGTTTGCTCGGGAAAGCGCAGGGATATTATGTTGCGAGTGCCATTGACGGAACTAGCCAGACATTGGCTTTCACTGCGATGTTTGAGAGCGGCGGTTATGAAGATAGTATAAGCTTCTTTGGGGTTCTCAGAACAGCGGTTTCGGAATCGCATATAGGAGTTATGGGAGGTACCGGAAAGTATGTGAATGCGAGGGGATTTGCGATTCTGAAGACGTTTACAGGATCTAGCGGGACGCAGCAGAATCAGCCGCATCAGTTCACTGATGGGCTTGAGACTGTTCTCGAGTGTACCGTTTATCTTTCGTACTAGTTTTATTTATCTTCTTCTGTTGGAGTTTGGGAAGGTTTGGTGTGTATGTGATGTGTGTCCTTTGTAATCTACATATGAAACTTGTGTAAGAAAATTGTATTTACTTTCTTTTTTAATTCCTGATATTACTGATTTCTTTGGAGCAAAATATCTATCTTTAAAGTATTGAAGTACGTTTATTTCAAATATTTATCGTTTCGAACTTTCGATAATTAAAAGGTTATGGAATTCGGTTTTTGGTTTGGATTTTTTTTTCTTGGAATTTTGGTTTGGATCTAATATAAAGATCGAGTGAAAGTATGATTTCACTTCACATGCAAATTTTGAAAATATTCAAGAATACGAGCAGCCAATACCATCTCGATACAAGTTCCAATCGCTTTTTTAAATTTTACCACTAATTTTTTGGTCAATCACTTCGTGTCAAGTGGCAAAGTTGAGTTCTTTCCCACCGAGTTTCAACATGTTTTAATACACTCATTTTCAACAAATAATTCAACACACCACTGCACTTATTCAACAAGGCATTATAAATAGTCTAAAGCTTTCGAATATGTGGTTAGGCACATCGCAATCTTCAAGACCCATGAATCCATAAATCGATAGTTAACTAACGACACCAAACCCTCTAGGCTCTAGTCCGTAGCCCTTGTGCCTTATCACTCTCAAAATATCCCCATCATGAATATTCATGATCATATGTTATGCATTACTAATCAATTCAGTGATACATTTCGTAAAATGTTCATTCACGTAAACTCGTATATATCAATACTCGATAATATGAACCACTCAAAAAAAATTCGCGATCGATCTCTGGCTCATAATGAAGGTTTAAGCAAAGGTATTGCTAGCTTGCAGAACTCTCATAATCAAACATCGACAAAACTATATGGCCTTAGACTACTTACAATGGTGCTTTTTAAAACAGATGAAATATTTATTCAACTGCTGAATCATTTACAATGGTATGTTGCAAAAAAAAAGGAAATGACGTGGAGTAAACAGAGTTGAATCTCTTCAACGGTGTTGAACCAAAACATTTGGGCCTCACAATGACCACGTGGCAATCAATGAATGGATGAATTTTTTAATTATATGATAATATATAGATAATGACACGTGTTCTGTTTTTATTGGATACTGAGATTTTAGATATTTCTTATCCAACCCAATTATTTGAGATCAATTATTTCATAAAATATTAAATTTTATGTTATTTTTTTATACCAAAATTCATCATTTTTTATATTATATAAATAGAGACTTGTTTCACTTCATTTGGAGACATAAAAAAAAAAAACAAATAGAGACTTGTTTCACTTCATTTGGAGACATAATATGTATTTAATGTAGATAGTCTTAGACAAACTAGAAGGCCCAATAATTATCACAGTCAACATCTCCCACAGTGCGAGGGGATAATACTAAACAGTGTGAATTATAGAAGTATAAGTAAATAATAAGTTAAGGGATCTAATTGTAATTAAGTTTTACCCTAAACCCTTAGCTAAGTCTTGTATATATATGTGTAATCTCTCATTCTACGTTTAATAAGAATTATTCAATCCTTATATGGTATCAAAGCATAAAAGCTCCTAAGACCTAATTTTTATTTTTTTTCATCTCTTTTTCTCTTCTAGCCGTCACCATGTCTTCCTTTGAGAATGCTAGTGAGACAATTTCTATCAACTCAAACACACTCCTCCATATCAATATGTCCAACGTTTTCAAGCTGACAACACAAAATTACCTCATGTGGAAGCTCCAAGTTCATTCTCTCCTTGATGGGTATGAGCTTGTTGACCACCTTGATGAATCCAAGGAGGCGCCGTCTCCCACAGTCACGGTCGGAACAACCACTTCGACGAATCCAGACTACACCAAATGGCGTCGCCAAGACAAACTCATTTACAGCGCACTCATCTGCTCGATCTCCTCCGCTGTTCAACCAATTGTTGGTCGCACCACTACCGCTGCTCAGATCTGGACCAAGCTCGCCAACACTTATGCGAATCCGTCCCGAAACCACATTCGCATATTGAAGGATCAGCTCAAGCTCTACACCAAGGGCTCCAAATCAATTGACGAATACGTACAAGGCATAGTTACCCGATTTGATCAGCTTGCTCTCCTTGGTAGTGAGCTTGAACACGATGATCAAATCGAACATGTTCTTGAAGGACTCCCTAAGGAGCACAAGCCCATCATCGACCAGATTGCAGCCAAAGACAAGACGCCACAAATCAGTGAGGTCCACGAGAAGCTACTCAACTACGAAGCGAAACTTCTTTCCAAAAACCAAGTTGTTTCGTCCACGTTCTCTCCGGTCTCTGCAAATGTTGTTCAACACAACAACAACTCTGGAAATCAACAAAACAACCGCAACAATAATAACAGCAAGAGGTACAACAACAACAACTCACCGTGGACTCCAAACTAATACCAAAACCGGTCTGAGTCTCGTGTTTCTAAGCCATATCTTGGCAAGTGCCAATACTGCAACACACAGGGTCATAGCGCTAGACGCTGCCCTCAATTGCAATCACTGTAAGCAGCAGCTCCTCCGATGCCTCCTAATCCGTTCCGACCCTGGCAGCCATGCGCTAACCTCGCCGTCGGCTCACCGTACACGACAAACAATTGGCTGCTTGATTCTGGAGCCACTCATCACCTGACATCCGACCTTAACAACCTCTCTCTTCACCAACAATACAATGGTGGTGATGACGTTATGATTGCCGATGGTTCAAGCATGACCATCTCTCACACGGGTTCAACACTCCTTCCTAACCAAACTCGTTCATTACTTCTAGATAAAATCTTATGTGTTCTTGATATTCGGAAGAATCTTATTTCTGTTTATCGCTTATGTAACACTAATAAGGTTTCTGTGGAATTTTTCCCCGCTTCCTTTCAGGTGAAGGATCTCAGCACGGGGGTCCCGTTACTCCAAGGCAAAACTAGGAACGAGTTGTATGAGTGGCCTGTGACATCTTCTCAAGCGGTGGCGTTGATGTCTTCTTCAGGTCCAAAGCCGAGTCTTACAAATTGGCATTCGAGATTGGGGCATCCTTCTTTTTCTATTTTGCAAACTATTATTTCCAAGTTTTTGCTTCCTATTTCTTCTTCTCCACAAAAACAACAATCTTGTTCGGAATGCCTTATTAATAAAAGCCACAAACTCCCTTTTTCACAAACTTCAATTGTCTCCCATCGCCCTCTTGAATATATCTTTACTGATGTTTGGACATCTCCCATACACTCTATTGATAACCAAAAATACTACCTTGTGCTTGTTGACCACTTCACCCGCTACACATGGCTATACCCGCTTATACGCAAATCCGATGTCAAAGATGTTTTCATTGCTTTTAAAGCTCTTGTTGAGAATAGATTCCAGACTCGTATTGGTACATTATTTTCGGATAATGGGGGTGAATTTGTGGTGCTCCGACCCTTCCTCTCAACCAATGGGATCACTCACCTTACATCTCCGCCACATACGCCCGAACACAACGGCCTAGCTGAGCGCAAACACCTTCATATCGTTGAAACTGGGCTTACGCTTCTTTCCACCGCGTCGGTACCGAAGGCGTATTGGTCTTATGCGTTCTCAACAGCCGTCTATTTGATCAATAGAATGCCAACACCGGTTCTTTCCATGGAGTCTCCATTTCAAAAGCTATTCGGGTCGTCACCAAACTATGAAAAACTAAGAGTCTTCGGTTGTTTGTGCTTCCCATGGTTAAGACCATACACCCGCCATAAACTCGATGACCGATCTCAGTGGTGTGTGTTCCTTGGGTACTCCACATCCCAGAGTGCATATTATTGTCTCCATCGTCCTTCATCAAGAATATATGTTTCCCGACATGTTCAATTTGATGAAGACACATTCCCTTTTCAAGATACATTGTCACCAAATCGGGAAACAGAGCTCGTCACTCCAACACATCCGTCGGTGATTCCGCTACTCCGACCACCAGTGGTACGACCGCCGCCGGTTAGCTCACCTCCGTCGCCCACTGTCGAACCTGTTCCTCCTCGTGAGACGCTCATAGATACTCGTGTGGAAAGACAACAATGGCAGCTCCCAAAGTGAAAATGTGGGCCTAATTCAAACAGGCCCATTAAACAATTTAAATCAGGCCCATGAACAAGCCCAAACATCAAACTCAACAACTCGTGCACCTGCTCACCAGCCTTCGTCGTTTTCCTCTGAATCACCAACTTCAACACAGACACCGACCGGCTCCTCCACACGAAGAACAGGACCCCCCAGCTTGGATCTTCACCCGTCATCACCACGATCATCCGATTCTCAGGTATCATCTCCTCTCTCTTCTTCTTCCGCTTCTCTCTCCGAGCCTACTGCTCATTCTCAAAATGGGTCGCAGACCTCGACCCAGCCAAATCGTAATATAATTGAGCCCACTGTTCCACGCCAAAATGAGTTGAATCCCACGACTCAGAATCAGCTACAAACAAATAATCCACCACAAAACCGAGCCACGCCTACTCAGCCACAGAACCAAATATTAGCACCACCGGAAAACATCCACAAAATGAAAACCCGAGCCAAAAACAATATTACAAAACCCAAACAAAAATTCAGCCTTACCGTCACAGCAAATAATAAACGACCTCCCGAACCGACTACGATCAATTAAGCCTTGAAAGACAAAGATTGGAGTAAAGCGTGTTCCACCGAATTTGATGCACTCATGGGTAATCATACATGGGATCTCGTTCCTCCTGCTGCAGCACAAAACATTGTTGGTTGCAAATGGGTATTCACAACAAAGTTTTTCTCCGATGGCTCTCTCGAACGATACAAGGCGAGACTTGTCGCAAAAGGCTTCCATCAACAATACGGGAAAGACTATGCAGAAACGTTCAGTCCCGTCATCAAATCCACCACAATCCGCCTTATTCTCGATGTTGCAACCACCAAAAATTGGCCAATCAAACAACTTGACGTTAACAATGCTTTTCTCCAAGGTGAGCTCACTGAAGAAGTATACATGTCTCAACCACCAGGCTTTGTTGATAAGGACAGACCAGCATTTGTTTGTCGTTTACGGAAGCCGATCTATGGCCTCAAACAAGCTCCAAGGGCCTGGTACATGGCACTAAAACAATTTCTCATTCATTCGGGATTT